CGGCTGGGCCCATGGGCCATGGCCGCTGGGCCTGCGCGTCCGGAGCCTGTGCTCCGCAGCGGGGGAGGCCGCGGCAGTGAGGGGCCCGCGTACCGCAAAAAAAAAAAAAAATTCACAGATTATAAAATGTGCATATTCTGCGTATCAGACCCCCTTGAGTACTACCAATTTAGGTTAATCAATTGATTTCTTCTACCTTAAATCAATGATAGCATTGAATAGTTCTCATTTTCAGCCTCTAAACATCTGTTTCAGTATTTTTTCTTTTTTAACCCATGATTAATCCAGGCTTACTTTCTGAAAGGTCTATGTAACACTGACAGTGTGCTTTGAGCTGCAACTCCCATTCCGAGCTCTTCTAGGACCAGAAGCACACTGATTAGCACACACAGCAGGCTAACTTTCCAAAATTTAATCTCTGGAGTTCATTTGCTTTCAATTATTAAGCATTAATTTAAATCTTCAGTTTAAAAAAATTAGATAATCTATGTATGTAAAACAAGGACAAAAATCACATGGCTGCAGCCTAGTGCCGCCGTCCTTGCTGAATGAAGCTGGGCTGAAAAAATATATACTTGAAAGCTGATGACGTAAAGGCATTTTCTAATTAAATATGGAATATGCTAATTTGTTAAGTTGCTTTTTTACTTCAGGAAAAGAAAGGCAATGGACTGTTAGAAGGGCTCTGCTTAGGCTGAAGGGACACTGGCCAGCGCCCACTTGAACCCGTGCTTCTGGATTACACACCACAACCCTGACCTGACAAACACAAGTGTTCAGCAACTCCGCTCAGCAAAACTTTCTGATCAACTTACTCTAAAATGCTCCTTCAAGACACCTTCATAAGCACATAACAAGCATTTACATACTGACACATACCAGGAAGCTGTGTATTTTCCTGTCGCGGTTCAAGACACGAAACCTGCAGCTATTTCTACTCCTTCCATGATAGTTAAATACACGAATAAGGCTACTCCTCTCTCGCCCGGCCCTCTGCGGGGGAAGGGGCAGACGGCAGGAGGAAATGATAAAAGTAACCCTACTGCTGACAGCACGCTACCTGACTCTGAGAATAACCGGATGAAAAAGTTAACAAGTGCATCTAAGCCAAATCACCTGCCAGATAATGTGTAAATCCTTGTCACAGAACTGCACAGGCTACCTGCCAAGGTTCGGCTGAAAGCCACCACAATGGTGTAGTAGACCAGTTTTACTTTCTCCACCAGAGGGTTAGCTCAACGTGGCCAGTGAGTGGACCCAAGAGTTCCTAGACTGAACCCAGATGGCTCTTAGTGAAAGGCACTGCAGAAATGCAGCCTGGCCTAAGGGGCTCCCTCCCCACTGCATGGCTCAGCGGGCCCAGCTTCACCAATACCAGGGCGCTTTCAGCGTCAGACCATGATGCGTTTTACTCTGAGGAAACAAGTATAAAGTTCTGCCTATCAGATCCACTCCTTAAAAACCCATACTTGCCTGGTTATTATTTAAAAGGACAAAAAAAGATTCTCTTATCAATTGTACATATACAGAAAACAGAAGCTAAACCATAGCCAAAGTGATAGAAAAGCCACCAGGAAAATAAAGCAAAAAGGAAGGGAGGCTGACAGAGGGCACACACCACAGAAGAACAGCTAGTGAAGTGCAGCAGGCAGGAGCTCCACAACTTTGAGATTCAAAGTTAAAATATTTCAGGGAGAGAGGCTGGTCAGGAAGGAAGCTGAGTCAGGGGCTTTTTTCTTCTACCTTGTACCCAGGAACTGACTTGGACAGTACAGAACGTTTGGAAGCATCTTTTCGTGGAGGAGCAGCCTTGTCCCTGGACCTCTGTCTTCCCTGCAGAGGCTCCTCCTGGCCTTCAGGAAGGCCTTCTCCCTCAGACACGTTGCCAGAGGAGCTGTCCTGCAAGCCAAAGGCACAAACAGAGGTTCCTTGGAACTCATGCAGATTCGAAAACTACAGAATATATCCAAGAGAAGTTTTAAAGTTCCATCAATTCAAAAATAAAAAGATAATTCTAATCTAAGAAAACATTTTCCAGTGTGAGACTGAAAGAAGTCATGGTAAGAATCATTTATCCATCTTATAAATACATTATAGCTAGTTCCATTTATATCAGCAAGTACCTTAATCGACTTTGTTTTCTGACCTAAGTCAACGGTAACAGAATCATCTACTTCAGCTATTATTACACGACACAGCTTCCACACCATTTTACCACGTCACAAGGGAGCATATTTGTTTCACACAAAAATATTCTTCAATAAAGAAACTACTTTAAGCAAGTGTGGGTATTTTTACTGAGTAATAAAGGTTATTAAAGAAGTTCTTCAAGCCCACACCTGTAACTTCCTAATGTTAAACAAGGCAGAGGGCCAATATCGTCAAGTATTTACAACAGTATCAGACATATTGTACATGTTCAAAGTTTAGGAGTTCAATAATCACTTAATTCTTCATTTTTTAATTTAAAATTTTCTAATTAGAATAAAAATGTTACGTTCATATAAATTATGAAGATTATAAAAGAAAAGATCAGGTTATCCATAACCACCCTGGTAAACATCCTGAGACAACGCCTGGGAACGTGATGTATCTCTTTTCTAGTTACGTGTTTGTACAGATACCCAGGTTCACACACTAACACATACACAACCTACCTACATGTGTGCCCTCATTTTTTAAAACACAAACACGAAGCTGAATTACATTGTATGTGTGTGTGCATCTGCGTTTTAATATTTTTAAGTGTTATGTGCATTTCATCACATCATTAAATATTCTTTGAGCTGCATCTCTACCACGTAAATGTAATATATAACCCACTGTGGACATGATATTTCTAATTTCTGCTATAGAAAATAACACTCCAATGGACATTTTTTCCTAATTAAATTTTGTTACCATCTGATCAGGTTCTTCGGATAAATTCTATTAGTGTATTTGCCAAGTCAAATTCCATGGAAGTTAAAAATCTTGGTACAGACTGTGAAAACACTTTCCCAAAAAGCTGTATTAACCGACACTCCCACTAGCAGTGTAGGAGAGTGTCAACTTCATCACACCCTCGTCACAACACAGCACCCCTGTACCAACGTGACGGAAGAAAAGCAGTGTCGTCACTTTAGTATCTGAAGAGCATCTTACTTTAATGTGACATGTATTACTAAATATGTTTTAGAAGCTGTTAGTGACAAAGTGTAGTGCCCATTAATGCTAACACAACCCCACGTTCAGGTTGGCTAGAAAGATATAAAACGGCCAGCTGCTTAATATGCCATGCTAAATAAAAATCAAACCCCTGACTACTGTCTTCTTTGTTCTCCTTCAGTTCCACAGAGCACACCAACTTCCCAACTGTCCCGCAATTGCATTTTGCTACAAAAAAAAAAGTCATGCAGGAAAACCTAACTAACAGCACATGTTGGTAACCTTAACGTTATCCTAGAAGAGGCCGAAGACTATTAATTAAGCAACAGGAACACAAGTTAATGTGCTCCCCCTAACCCAACATGGTTAAGCATAAGATTGTAAACCAATGTCTAGTACCCTGCCTAACCTGCTCGTGAAAACCACAAAGGGGCAACTTTAAGGATAAAACTTACCAAAGGCCACACACAGATAGTCCATATCAACACAAGCAATAACTTTTCCTGATGGATGCTTTTGGAACTTATATGCAACTGTCCTTTTTCAAAAAGAGGGTAGTGATACAAGTTCAATTTAACACTCCAGGAAAGCTATCAGCAAAAATTCAAAGGAAAAGGAGACACCTCCTACTGAAGATAAACGTCCTCACCGAAGTGCCTTTATTTTTCCGTTTCTCATCACCTCGACCATCTTCGGCATCATCTGAATCACCATCGCTATCGAGAGCAGGGAGCTCAGGATCCAGGGGGGGCTCATAAAGCGCTGTGTTTAATGGCAAATACCGCAGTTCATCTGGTGAGTACCTATAGTTCAGAGAGAGGATTTTCAGTTTTCCTTTTTTTTTTTTTTGGTGTGCCGCATGGCTTGCGGGATCTTAGTTCCCCAACCAGGGATAGAACTGGTTCCATCCCGTGCCCGTGCCCGTGCCCCCTGCAGTGGGAGCTCGGAGTCTTAACCACTGGACTGCCAGGGAAGTCCCCAGTTTTCCTTTATTGTTAAATATATATGGACTAATTTTGAACTACGATAATAGCCTTAATATTAACCACAAATACTTTTGAAAAATGATTAGAAGCAATAAATAATTTTTTCATTTTGGTACTCAAACAGGGACAAGGAATAAAAAAAGCCTAAACATTTTTTCACCAGTCTAAGAGTATAAAATATATATTTGATTCTTGTTATCAAAAGATTATGTCTCTCTCCTTTACCCTCAACACCCTCCCCCTGCAAAAAACGTCAGCAGACAGGGACGAAACTGTGGCAATACAGAATCCTGCCTGAGCACCTCCACCCTCCCACTTTCCTGAGTCCTTACTGCCTGTGCGCTGCTGCTGCTTCACCTGTAAAGCAGGTATGGTAACAAGTCCACCTCACAGAGTGAACGTGAGCATCAAATAAATTAACACAGGTAAGTCACAGTGGTGCACGGTACAAGATACTATTTAAGAAACAAAATTTCCAGCAACAAATTATTTTAAACCAATTTGTGAAGCATGTATTCTAACAAATGTAATCATCTCTTTTATCTGAAACTAGGGATCGGCAACCCCTTCCCCAGGTCAGTCAGCACACGGCCCGCAGATGACGTCCGAGCCGTTCCCACAGGATCGCACCAGGCGGCTATGATCTCGGAACCTCAGTAGGGAGAGGACACTGGATCAGGATCCCACTCACCTAAGATGTCACACCAAAAAGCACAGGGGTTGGGACACAGGCCTATCACTCAATAATGTGCTTTGCCCAAAGTGAGAAAATGAAAATTTGCTGACCCATGATTTAAGTTTGACTTTCAAATAGTGTGATTGTATAGTCTATTTTATTTTTTTAATTTTATTTATTTATTTATTTTGGCTGTGTCGGGTCTTCGTTGCTGCACATGGGCTATCTCTAGTTGTGGCGAGCGGGGGCTATTCTTCGTTGAGGTGCGGGGGCTTCTCATTGCTGTGGCTTCTCTTGTCATGGAGCATGGGCTCTAGGCACATGGGCTTCAATAGTTGTAGCACGCGGGCTCAGTAGTTGTAGCACGCAGGCTCAGTAGTTGTGGTTCTTGGGCTCTACAGTGCAGGCTCAGTAGTTGTGGCGCATGGGCTTAGCTGCTCCACGGCATGTGGGATCTCCCCGGACCAGGGCTCAAACCCATGTCCCCTGCATTGGCAGGTGGATTCTTAAGCACTGCACCACCAGGGAAGCCCATATAGTCTATTTTAAAGACTACTGTCTAGGGCTTCCCTGGTGGTGCAGTGGCTGGGAGTCCCCCTGCCAATGCAGAGGATATGGGTTCGTGCCCCGGCCCGGGAGGATCCCACGTGCCGCGGAGCGGCTGGGCCCGTGAGCCAT